AATTGTTAACGAAAAGACAACCATTCGATATCGTAAAAAAACTAAAGTGCCAAAAAAGAACATTGGCTCAGAAAGCTGTTGTGCATCTTAAGTGCAGAAAATTAGTTGCACTTTTTTGGAAAAAATTTGTGATAATTGATGACGAATCGTATTTTCCTTTGTGGAACACAAATTTCTGGCAACGCAGGATATTATACTTCTGATCCTGACACAACTCCTAATGAGGCTCAAAAGAAAAAGCAAGTATGAGCAAAAATTATTAGTTTGGATAGCCTTGTCAGAAAAAGGGGTCTCAAAGCATTACATAGCTCCTTTGGGTCAAGCAGTCAACAAGGATGTGTAAATTTCCAAATGCCTGGTTAAATTAAAGAAGTTCATCAGCAAGGTTCATAAAAACGAAAAAATTGTGTTCTGGCCTGATCTAGCCTCCTCATACTATTCAAACAAAGTACAAAATTACCTATTTAGTTTATAATGTTTGATAAAGTTAGGAGTTAACTCCTAACTTTAATCAAACATCAGTTCTTTAGAATTTGCTCCCTTCACTTGTTTTCTTGATTCATATAGTTTGCAACCTTTTTAGTCATCTGTTAATCATTATCTTGCTTTATAAGCTTAATATTTTCTCTTCCAGTAACTTCCAGATCGAATAGTGGTTGCTTGCAGTCTTGTTGGAAATGATGATGTTTTGAAAAATTGGATTAATTTTAAACATTCTTACCATTACCTTATTACCTCCCCTTTGTCTAACTTTTGGTTTACAATACTTCTCATCAAATATAAAGTGATAATATGAAGGATTTAAATATAAAGAATCATTTTATAGATTATATCCCTTATATGAATAGCAATACTTTTTTTGCAAAAAGTTTTGTTCCATGTTGAACTGGGTAATCTAAAGTTTTTTTTTTTGCTCTTTCTCTAAAATATCTGATTCTCATGAAAATGAAGTTTAGTGCAGATAATAGTGTTTGACATGTGACTGATGGGATACTCAAATATTTACCATAGCGCTTTAGATGCAATGTAATTATAACTTAGGGTGGGCATGAACCAATAATTAAAAAAAGCTGTATTTCTGCAAAAATTAATGCTAAACAATTAAATCCTTTCTAAGGAATTAAAATCGTGAACATTTTGGTAAAATAGTTTTTTTCCATAAAATACTGAAGGGAATAATTGTCTAGCTGAAAGTTTATATTGCAGAACTAAGATAACATGATTTCTAACTAGTTTAATTTGTTCAGTGTTGTGCACCAGTCAGGGATCATCTTTTTCCGGATATTTTTTAAATTCCTAATATTTTTCTTAACTTTTAGTTTTTCGGATATCCAAAATACTTTCCATACATAAAACTTAAGTATATATTTTTTAAATATATTTGCTTTTTAAGCTTTTTCACTCATTACTCATACAAAAACTAATAAAAGTTAAAAAAAAATTGGAAACAACTCAGCTAAAAGTAAAATTAAGCGGAATATAAGAGAAAATATATTCTGGATTTTTCCAGATATTTTACCAAAACAATTTTCCGAATTTTTTAAATATGACCTGGATGATTATTCCAACTGACATCACCTCTTTGGTAAACCATATGGCCTTATTTGACATAAGGCATTAAAATTTCTATTATAAAGCTATTATGATAACATAAAAGTATATTTCATCAGGAAATTTCTTAGCACCACTGTTCTAACAAATTTGATTCATTTTTCCTAAATAATTGTGAAATAATTTTAATAATATTACTTCTTGTTATTTAATGCATTCTCTATTGATTTGCAGGATTTTTTACATTTTCAATTTGCATATCTACACTGTCTGCTTTTGGGTTTAAATTATCTTCAGCTCAACAGCATGTACTACATTTTGTTGATAGTTAATTTCATTTTGCATGAGCTTTTTTCTTTTATTTTAATGACAATTATTTTTAACTTGCCTAATCATTTTATCCTCATTTAGGAATAAATTATTTTCAGCTCTCCAATCAGTCATCTCCAATCATTCTCCATCTCCAATCATCTCCCATCAGCATTTCTTTTTTTTGGAGACAATTATTTTAAACTTGATAGCATTTCTATAATTTTGTATTCTAATAATCTACCATCATTTTTTTTAGTTGAGCTATTTCAACTATGTATAAGTTTCCAACAAACACATTAACACTAGTAAACAAACAAGTAACAAAACCTTAGAATTTTCTTTAAGGTATGTTTTGTACTACTCTAAAGTGAAAAAAAAAAATACTCAATAAATAACTGATACAATTACCATTATTAAATATTAATAACAAATTATCAAAACAAATGTAAATATTATTTCATGTAGGTTTTAAAAAACATATTTCCAAAAACATATTTGTGAAAAGATTTAAACGAAAAAATCACAAGTTTAAATCATTACAAAAAAAAATTACCAATTTAAATCAAATAAAAATTATATGCTGCATGCAAATTGAAAACACAAAGTATGAACAATTAAATTTATAAACTTTGTTTTGAATGCATTTTCAATCCGTTATAAGATATTACTTTATCCAAAATGCTTTTGGATAAAGTAATATCTTCTTATGCATTCAAACTTGATGTGAGACATTTTATATTTTTAAGGTTAACATTAAAAATAATAAACATAAATTATTTAAAATAGAACTTTTAGAAAAAGTATAAATACCTAAAATACCTAATATACCTAAAATTGTCTGAGATGATTTGATTAACAGTTCTATAACTAAAATATGTTAAGTCTAAAAAATTCTAATTGCAGTACAAATAAATAAAATCTTAATAACAAATAACTAATAAAAAAATTAGTCTTTGATCCTCTTCCATGCTTTGTCTTAACAATGATATTAACATTAAAGACTAGAATATATTTATAGAAAAACTAATCAATCGATGTCACATTTGACTATCTAATGATAATACTTTTGTTTCTTGATCAATTGAAAAATTAAAATATTTCAAAAATTAAGTTGGAAATTAAACTTTTAAGTTAGAAATTAAATCTTATCTTATATAACACAAATGTTTATGTAAGATAATAAAACCAAAACCTTTTATTCTACTTTTAAAAATATTTATAAAATATTTCTTCATTGTTAACATCAGTATGATTTTTATCATTAACTAAACAGAAAAATAAAAGAATCACCCTATATCATTATATAATTCCAAAATTTTTTTTTTTTTTTCAAAATTTATAATTTTTAATTCAATTCATTAGTAGTTATTTTTCAGTCTTTTTTTTATATTTAAACAAATTAAGTCTGTTTATAATTTAATATTATACCTATATTGAGTTTAAACAAAGATTTTTTAAAATTTTAATTCACCTCCCCAAGGCCAAGAAGGCCACTACAGTCGCGTAGGCTACTTTAATTGGGGTTACAATTTTCTTTCAATTCTGTAACTCTGAAACACAAACTTTGATGAACAAGGCTGTTGCATGGAGAAACAAGTTAAGCACAGTAGATAATATATTTGAAATTTTCATAAAGCTTGGAAATTGTTGGTTTTATCACATTTTTATTATTTTATGCTAGTTGGAGCTGTTTTATAGTAAAAATTTAGATAAAATATATGAATCAATGTTCAAGCATTATCAAAGAGTCAAATAATGACTAAACTTTGCTTTGGTTTAGAAATTTTAAGTTTTTTTTTTTTCTTCCATCAATTTTAATTATATAGCTTTTTTTAGGGACCATGAGTGGTGGAGGAAATAGGCCATCTAAAGGAAGAATAGGCAATCGCTTAACACAAGATTACAATCCAAATGATATTGAAATTCTTGAAAAAAAATTCTATAGTGATACAAAGATGCTTGAGGTTTGTTACCTTTTTTTAACTTTATCATTAGTCTATCAAACAAGATTTATGAAGAAAATCACACATCGGCACAGATTTTATATATATATATATATATATATATATATATATATATATATATATATATATATATATATATATATATATATATATATATATATATATATATATATATATATATATATATATATATATATAGAGAGAGAGAGAGAGAGAGAGAGAGAGAGAGATATTTTTGAATGAAAACCACATGAGACAGTAAGCTTGGACAATTATGTTTGTTATTGTTTACATTTTATCTGTCAGGTTTTTCTCTCACATGAATTATCACATTTTGTAAAGCTATAATCAGTCAATGTAGATTTCTGTAAAACGGAAATAGAAAATAAAAAAAAAGCTGTTTATGAATGCTAAAACACGTAGTGCAGTATAATGCTACCACTCCTTGGTGCAGTACAATGCAACTACTTTTATTACTATGGTAATAAAAGAATTTCTTGAAATTTTCAAGACTGAGTATTAACATAATAAAAATTTGCAAAAATATTTTAAATTTTTTGTTAAAATAAGAATTTCTTAACAACTTAGCATGTCTAAAACCTAGGTGATGTATGATATAAATTGAACTCAAACATTATCATTTAATTAATTAATACAATTTCTTTTGAAAATAAAAATAAATGTTATGAAGAGTTCACAAGGCTTTTTCAAAAATACCTATTAGTGCCCTAATAGGTAAGTTTGAAAAAATTTATTTCCTACCACCTCTTTTGTTTTGCTGCACTTTTTTATTTATTTTTATTTTTTTTCTATTTTTACCCCTTTGATTGTTAATTTTTGAACATTTTTCCCAATCCCAATATGCAATGTGTTAAATTGTTACCTAGTGTAAAGTGTTAAATTGTTACCAAGTGTAATGTGTTAAGTTGTTGCCAAGTGTAAGGTGTTAAATTGTTACCAAGTGTAATGTGTAAAATTGCCGATGTGTGCAAATCTACAATATGTGGTTTACAAATTGGCAATGTGTGCAAATCAACAATATGTGGTTTACAAATTGACAATGCGTGCAAATTAACAATATGTTGTTTACAAATTGGCAATGTGTGCAAATCAACAATATGTAGTTTGTGAATCATCGTATATGCTTTATTGTGTATTTATGAAATGTGATTTTTAATGGCAGCCATGCAATTTTTATTGGTAGTGCATGAGAGTGAACTATAAAATAGTGAGGCATCAATTTAGACACAAAAAGTGACAGCTTACTCTTGATTATTAGTTTTTTTATTTGGTTATTAAAGCGCTGTAAGTTATGGTTTTGTCACAAAGCACCATAGAAGAATTATGTATTGATTATCATTTATATTACTGCAAAATAAAAGATTTTATCAGTATTTTGAATCGTTTAATAAAATATGAAAGGATTTTCTTAAAGTATGATATGAAAAGTTTAAAAGTTTATATGAAAAATAAAGAGCCACATGATTTTAATAAACCAATTTATATGAATTCTACTCAAAATTTATTGAGATTGAATCAAGTTTTGAAAATTATTGATAAGGAAGATCTAACAGAGTGGTGCCATGTTAATAGACTTGACATTGGTATTGAGCTTGATTTCAACAAAAACAGGTTAAAAAATTAATAACAACTTAAGATTTGATTTCAACATAAACAAGTTAAAAAATTAATAATCGATAACAAAAATAAAATCAATAACAACTTAAGATTTGATTTCAACAGGTTAAAAAATAACTTTTACTTAACTTGATAACTTTTTTCAGTGAACAAATTGATAAAAAAATGACTTTTTTAGAAATATTTGAAACTCATTACTTTATTTTTATTATTATTTTATCTGTATATGTACTTAAATCCTATATATGCTAACTTTATACTAAAATTAATTTATACTAATAATAATTTAACAACATTAATAAATTAACAAGAATATATCACAAATTTACAGAAATAGGTTTTGTGTTATAGTTGTACTCATGATTTAAAACTAGTTAATCAAATTTTACTTGTTATTTTTATTGTGTATAACATGAATTTATAAGTAATAAACCCACTAAAAATAAGTATTTAAAATTTAAAAAATTTAAAAGAATAATATTTAACAAAAGTAGTTTAACTAAATAATTTTTTTTTTCTTTTTACTTTTACACTCAAAAAAAAAAAGGGGATAGAAAATAAATTGTTTCAGCAATAAATCATTTTAGGAGCTTCAGCAAAGAAAAACAAAACTTGAAGATACTGTTCATAATTTAACTAAGCAAGTCAAATCAATGGAACATGAAGTTCAAAAACTTAAAATGGAAATTCAGGTTTTTCTTTAGTTTTTGTTTTATTTTTTGTTTTTGCTTCGTTGTTTAAAGAAAACCAATTGGGTTATTTAATTGCAGCTAGAAAAATTTTCAAACTTTTACAACTAAGTGATTAAATTTCTTGTTTTCTTAGGCGCTAAGTGCTCAGGAAAAAGAACAACTGTTAAGGGTGCAACAATTAAGTTGTGATTTAAAAGCTGCAAAACCTGATGCTCAACATGAGGCTAAACTAGAGAAAGAAATAGCAATTCACAATAAAAGTAATTTTTCTCATTTTTACAATACCTTATATGGATACATAGTATGTATACATACACATAGTGTGTGTGTGTGTGTGGGGGGGGGGATGTGTCTGTTTTTTGCCGACTAAAGCCAAAAAAAAAAAAATCGCTAAAAAAAAAAAGTCCTCATTTTCCAATGTTTGTCGACTGTCAACTATAGATCCAATTTTACCGACTGAAAAAAATTCATAGGGGGGCTAGACACCCTCTACGCCCCCCCCCCCCCCCCCATTGGGACGGTCCTGTTACAACACAACAAAATTCTTTCATAAAACGCTTATTATGTTAACAGCTGTTATGTTTTAAATTTTATTTTTATAAAACAGATGTTAATCCAGATAATATAATACAGGATAAAAAATATTATTATATCTCAAAATTAAAAAAATAAAGAAATGAGGTAAATAAAAGCATTACTTTAATCAAAAGCATACACATAAACAAACTTAAAAGCATACACATAAACAAACTTAAAAGCATACCCATAAACAAACTTAAAAGCATACACATAAACAAACTTAAAAGCATACACATAAACAAACTTAAAAGACAAACTTTTCTTGGTGATGACTTGTGGTCCAAAAAGTACATGTAATAATTTTTAAAAGTAGTTTCACCCAAACTGATGGATAAATAACTAAAAGTATTATTTGTCTAACCAGGTTATATCAAAACCACTTTAAACATGTAACCATTTTTTTACAAAAATTTTTATCCAGAAATATAAAAATTAGCAATTGTGATAGCTTTAAATAATACACTTTCAAGATAGCTAAATGGCTTTGGCCCATCACAATTTGTGATTTGCAAATTATATATATATACATATATATATATATATATATATAATATATATATATATATATATATATATATATATATATATATATATATATATATATATATATATATATATATATATATATATATATACAACCCTCGGAATTAGGAAAAATGAGTTCGGCAATAATTTGCTGACCTCAATCTTTGAGGTCAGCATAGGTTGGCAAAAATTATTTGATACAAAGGTCTGACCATAAAACATAGAAACGAGGTCGGCAATTTTTGCTGACCTCAAACACTTTCAGGTCAGCAGTTAGGTCAGCATTGCCGAATGCCGAACCTAATTCTGAGGGTAGTTTTTATATATATATATATTAGGGTGGTTCAAGACCCTTAAAAATTTGACGGATCCCTAATATTTTGAAAAAAAAAGTTTTTCTTAAGTATGTTGACCTGGTACTCAAAAGAAGCGAAATTATATAAAAACTTATCAATTTGCATATATATATATATATATATATATATATATATATATATATATATATATATATGTATGTATGTATGTATGTATGTATGTATGTATGTATATATATATATATATATATATATATATATATATATATATATATATATATATAATTGATTTTTTGACGAGATTAAAAAAATAACTACATAATTTTTACTACTAAAAGTTTCATGCGTTTAGTAATCATCAGGTAAAAATACATTGTTTTTTACGTTAAAAAATTAAATTATATAGCTCTGATATCATTCATCGAGCACTCTTGCTGAATATATGCTAACAGCAAAATTAAACTTATATATATATATTTATATATACATATATATATATATATATATATATATATATATATATATATATATATATATATATATATATATATATATATATATATATTTATATATATATATTTATATATACATATATATATATATATATTTATATATACATATATATATATATATATATATATATATATATATATATATATATATATATATATATATATATATATATATATATATATTTATATATATAAATATATATATATATATACATATATATATATATATATATACATACATATATATATATATATATATATATATATGTATATATATATATATATATATATATGTATATATATATATATATATGTATATATATATATATATATATATATATATATATATATGTATGTATATATATATATATATATATATATATATATATATATATATATATATATATATATATATATATATATATATATATATATATGTTCTTTGTTAACAATCAACTATGTGTAAAACTGTCATTATTTTATATAAAAGAAAGAATTTGCTTTAAAACAATAAGGTTTCTCGTCACGCGCATGCACACACAAGCACACACATATTATAATTATTTATATTTATTCTAGCATATACTAAAGCAGCAGAGATATCTGGAAAAATTGAAAAAGAAGTTCAAAGGTCATAGTTTATTCCAGTATTTCAAAGTTTTTATATATATTTTCAAATACATTTTTTACTTGTTTATTGAATTTTCGTCTATATAAACAAATAGATGTCTCCCATATATTTGTCACTTACCTTATTTTAATATTTTTGTTTTTCTAATCTTTAAATAATGGAAAATTTTTTTTTTTTTTTTTGTGCTAAATTTTATATTAATTTTTCTATTTATTTAGTTTACATAAAAAGATAATGGATATTGGTAAATCAAAGTTAAGCGGTCAACAGGTTAGTACTTAATTTTTTTATTTCTGCTTTCTGTTGTTGTCTTTTTTTATTTTAGACAATGTATAAATAAGGTTTTAAGTAAATTTATTTTTGACTTAGAGTAAATTGGACTCATTGAGTAAACTTATTGATGAAGTTACCCAAAAGAAAACAAAAGCATCTGTTGCCATTAAAAATGCATCTAGGTTAGCTTTTTATTTAAATGTTTGTAATATAACTTTTTGCACTGTTTTTTTATTGACTCATTTTAAAAGCATAAATATATATTTTTTTAATGTTAAAATTAGTTCTTGCAACACAATGAATATCAATAGTGGCTTGCGCGTACCATATCATAAGTTCAAATATTTTATGTGTATAGTGTTTAGAAAATAAAAATAAAACATTCTAAAAAAATCCTTTTAACAGAAGATTTTTAAATTCAGTGTATAACTGAAGTTATAAAACATCATTTGTGCATAAGTGGTGTACATTTTATGTGTGCTATTTGTGTCTATCTTCACTAATAACTTAAAACATGACTAAAGCATGTAAAAATATTAAACTTAAAAAAACCATCACTCTCACCTAATTGTTTCAATCTATCTTTTTATGAAAAATATTGGTTTTGAAAATAACTTTTTATCTGTTAAATTTTACCTTAAATTCAACAGACATTCTGATGCTAATTTGAATTCCTTTTTTCGTTGGATCTCAGTATTGATGGGTATTATTCTTTGATTTTCAAAGACTCCAATAAACACATGCATATATAAATATATATGTATATATATATTCCAATTCACCTATTTTTTGTAAAATCAAGTTTCAATCCTCTAAACGTACTTTTTGAAATAATACATTTAGAGTCTCTTCACTCAAGGTTTTTCATTGTTCTTTTTAATTCTCCTTCTAAAGATTGCACTCTTTTTGATATTATTTCTGATCAAATTGAAAAAACTTGTACTCTTTATCCTCCAGCAAATATTTATTTTAATGCTCATCACAGTTAATGGTTCTAGCACTGGTGAACCTGCTACTAGTTTTTGCATTTTGCAATCAGCAAACTAAAAAAAAGTTAACATTTTTTTTTAGCTTGTAATGCTAAAATACTGCTTGGTTTTAGTAATGATATTTGTTGATTGTTATGTATTATACGATTTTAACAGTTAGTTACTATGTATATATATATATGTTACAATACAACTTGGTTGAATGGAGCATTTTAATAGGTAATAAGGTGCTATAGTAGCCTCAATTATCAATTTTAAAATTAAAAAAGCATATTTAAAATAAAACAATATTAAGATAATTGAATATACATTGTAGACGAGTTTAAATAATATATGTTGAATATTTTAATTTATCTAAAATACTAAATTATAAATTGAATATGCTGATTGTCTTTCTTTAGAAAAATTTATTTACTAGTCTTTTTGGTAATAGTTCTGTAACAAAAGTAGCAAATTCATTCAACTGTTATCAACATTTTTTTACCAAATTAATCTTAATAAATTTTCAATTTAAAATTATTTATATCTTTTTAAAAACTGGTTATATAAGTTTTAACTGTTTTTTCCAAGATAATAAAATTAAAAGTTTTTTTAAATGTCTTTTTGACATATGGAAATTTAAAGATGGTTTAAACTCTCTTGTCAGTGTAAAAAACAAGAGAATTTCTTTTTTTACCTTTTTTTGAATTAGCAGGTTCAAGTCACTTTAACAGGAATACCAGCATGCTTGAAGAAGTTTGCACAGTTTCAAGTTTTTCTCGTCTTAAGAATAATTAAAAAAAGTTTCCTACAGAATTTTGTATATTTACAGAATTTATTTCACAAAAATAATAACTTATCAAATTTCATTTGCAATTTGAAAAATAAGTTTCTATAACCAGACTTCAACTATTGAGTTTATTTTTATTTTATATTTAAAATTTGTTTTATATAAACTTATTATGAAATTAAATGTAGAAATTAGATTATATTGATTTTTTAAATATTTTTATTTGATAGAAATTTAAAAAAAGCAGAGGAAAAGGTTGAAAGTATAGAAAAAGAAATTAAGGAAAACACTGCAGCCCTTCTTAACATTGAGCAGGTAAAGTTTTTTTACTTTTAAAATGTCTCTCTCTCTCTCATATATATATATATATATATATATATATATATATATATATATATATATATATATATATATATATATATATATATATATATATATATATATATATATATATATATGTATTATATATATATATATATATATATATATATATATATATATATATATATATATATATATATATATATATGTGTGTATGTATATATGTATGTATGTATGTGTTTACAGCCCTTGGAATTCGGTATTCAGCAATGTTGACCTAATGTCAGGTCAGACAGTGTTTTATGTTGGTAATTTTTTGCCGACCTCAGAATTTTAAAACATAATTTTATTTTTATTTTAAATAAATTAAAAATGGTTAAGCTAACGCTTTACTTAAATTTTAAATAAAATATTTAAAATAAAAATGGTAAAAGGGTAAAATAACGTTTTTTATTCTAAATAGAATAATTAATAAAAAATGCTGTGTTTGTTTTTTTCAAATTTTAAGCATATGCCCATGTTTGAATAAAATGTTTTTAAATTCTGCATTTTATGCTAAATTTTTTGCCGACCTGGTATGACCTAAAATGCTTTTAGTTCAGCAATTTTTTGCCAATCTTTTTTTTCTAATTCCAGGGGCTATACATGTATATATTGTGCTAAATTAATACCTGGTTTCATATTTTAAGCAACTACTAGAATGAACAAAAAGGAATTTATTAAATTTTAAGTTGTTATATTAGGTTGAATTAAAAAAACTTGAAGATGATGCTACTGAAGTCTTGAATGCTGCTCAGGAAGGACAGGTAATTAACAATATTTTTTTTCTTCAATTTTGTCATCTTTATTTAGTAATGTTTTTTTTTGGCTTTTTTATTTTGTGCTTTATAACTTGATATTGAGTATCCAAAAAAAAACTTTTTCAAAATGGCATTTTCATTATATATCACTATACACAATTTTTGTTATATAGTACTTTTGTTCTAAACTTTGTAATTTTGTTTTAGGAGCGTATAAAAGAAATGCAGAAGAAATTAGAAGAGGCTAAGCGAGCATTTGAAGCAACTGATAAAGAAGAAGGAGACCTACGAAGTAAAGAAATAGATGTGAAACATGAATTGCAAAAATTTGAAAATACCCTTAAAGAGAATAGTAACAAAATACGACATTGGAAAGACAAGGTTGAAGAAGTTTAATTTTTAACTTTAGTTAATCTTTAATAATGCTAATGATGTTTCATAATTAAAAAAAAACAGAAAATAAGTTAATTGTATAGGTTTATGAAAATAAGTAAATAAGGGAAACAGAGAAAATAAGTTAATTGTATAGGATAAATGCAGAAAAAAATAATTAAAAAACAAATGTGAAAAAATTATCTTTTGATAAGAAATAAAAAGTTTAGACTTTTCTAAAGTATTTCTGTGTTTATAAAAACATGTTTGTTAGCTTGTGTTTGTACTGGTTATAAGCACCAGTGCACAAGAGATAGTTGGGAAGTTGTGCTTGCAAGATATTTAGGAAGGTTGATAAAGAGAGGAAAATAGGGTAAAAAGAGATTGAAATGGATTCTGGTAATAAGATATAAATTTTTGGTTATTAAGGGAATAAGATAAGGTGTTAAAGTTGAAGAAAAAATAGAGGCATAGTTTGAAGATAAGCAAAGTTTATTGGATGCTGTACTCTATTACCTACTGCAAGGCACATAATTTGTATTTTCTTTTAAAGGTAAAAGGAAAAAATACAACTCCCGCGTTCAGTATTATATTTTATAGCAGTTAGATATAGGTTATGATTTTGAATGATTTGTAACACCTAGAAAGATTGATTAGTTTAATTAGTGGATATATATATATTTTTTGTTTTTTTTGTTTTTGTTATTTAGGTGAACCAAGAAGACTTTACGGCCTTGTCACAGAGCACTGCGGAAGTGCATTTACTGTGACGCAAGAATATGTTCAAAGCTCATTTGAACCTGGATATATATATATATATATATATATATATATATATATATATATATATATATATATATATATATATATATATATATATATATATATATATATATATATATATATATATATATATATATAGTGGTTAAAGTAGAATAGTAAATTTGGTGGAACAGTGTTAAAAAGTTCATATTGTTTATTAAAAGGGTGGCGGAATTGTGCGTTCGGGTGCGCAGTCATTCCTTCAAATTTTTCCAGTAGGTGTACTTTTGTTTGGTGCACTTTTGCTGTATTTCAAGATACTGTGTGATGACTAATACTTCTTAATATTAGTCATAAGTTTTAGCAAAAATTAAAGTAGCTCTTTAACTTCAATAAAAATCAGTGAGCAAAGTGAAAATGATCTACTACTTTAAAAAGATAAATTAGGCGTTGCGTGATTTATTGACAATCCTATTGTAAAAAAAACAACTCAAAAACGAGGTAGAGCATTTGCAAAGAAATATTGAGTGAAGCAGAACGATTTCTTGATTTGTTGGCTAAGGAGGAACGGCATTCCCCTGTGTTCCCCCTACTATAACCCCTGTATATATATATATATATATATATATATATATATATATATATATATATATATATATATATATATATATATATATATATAATATATATATATATATATAAATGAAATTTATCGCAACCCTTGGAATTAGGAAAGATTAGGTTGGCATTTTTTTGCCAACCTCAATCTTTTAGAGGTCGGCATCAGGTCTGCAAAAAAAATTTGAAACAAAAGTTTTACTATAAAACAAAGAAACGCGGTCAGCATTATTTTATTGACCTCAAACACTTTTATGTTGGAAGTAAGGTCAGCGTTGCCGAATGCAAACCCTAATTCCGAGGGCTGATATTGTCTTGTTATTTTGACAAGATTCTTACTGACATTTTTTGAGATTATGGCTCTATTGGATTATTTGTATCATGACAAAAAAACACTTTACAAACTAAAATTTACTGCGATCTAGCGTGAAATAAGTAAACTACTAATGTGCCAAAGTTCTATCTGTAGGTTTAGTTAACTAATATTTAGTTTGACAAGGTTCCAACTAACAGGTTTGGATAAATACTAACTGCAGATAATTCCATAAATTTTTTTAGTTAAATTGTAATAGAAAATTTTATACTCATAAAAAACTATATAAAATATCAATGTATAGTGTTGACGTTGTCAATGTAATGTTTGACATTCTTGAAAAAAAAATTCACTAAACGCTAATATTCACTATTTTTTATAAATCTTTTTTATAATATATTGCACGATAAAAAGTAATGGTTTCTATCAGCGTTGAAATCTTTTTTAAAAACTCATTTTTTAAAACTAAATACATTTTGCCGCACATAACCTTAACTGTCAGTCATTGTAAGGATGTTCTAGCCTATGGTCAGTCATGCATGTTTATTACCCATCGCTTATCTCTAAGGATCAGTTAATGAATGTATAATTTTGAATAAAGTTGATGAAGAAAAAAATACAATTTTAATTTGTTACATATAAATTAGCGATATTAAAAAAATTGATTTGTAATAAAATGTTTATTAGCAATGTTAAAAAAAAAAAAGATTTTAAAAATGATTTAAAAAAGACTTTTCAAAGTAATTATTAATTAAGATAGTAATTTTGGAAATGAAACTATTTTTTAGAAAAAAGATTTTTTATGTTAACTTGGCAGCATATTATACAACAATCAAACAACAATACTGAGGATTATGGGCTAAATGGCGGACACTTCCCGCAAGCATTTTTCTAGTGCTTTTTGCAAGATATTGGATGTTGTGGCAGAGGAAAAGGGACATGAGAAACTTAGTTACTTGGTCTGACTGCTGAATTCCTCAAAATCGATACAATATAATATCAAAAAGTGAGTTACATTACAAAATACTTACTTCCTAGTCACTTATGTTACTCCAAACATTCATATATCCAGAAAGTGGATGATTGCGCATATTTAAATTGAAAAGCTTGCAAAAATAGCTGATTTTTTTAGTCCACTTGGATCAATAAGGACCCTCAAACAAGTTATCGGAAAAAATCCTTATCATTATTAATATGTTATTCAAATAAATCCACAAGACTTCAAGTACTATTATTTAACAGCAAAGCTATTTAACTACAAGTTCCTTTTTTTAAAATTGCTGTGCCAAAATTTTTTATCCATGGTTGAAATGATTCTATGACTTGTGCTGATGTCAAATTTAATGAAAAAATTTAACAGAAAAAGTGCTGTCACTAGCCCACTTCACAGTTTTGAATGTTAAAGCAAAGATTTAAACTTGTACAACTTAAGACTGTATTTTCTTTTGTGCCTCTCCAGAACCGAGATTACTAACCAGTGGTTCTTCACCTATAAAATGGCAGGATGCAATGAAAAGCTTTTAGCTTTTAAGCCATAATGTAATGGTTGTTAAATATAATATAACGGTAGAATCTTGTTAGATAATATGGTAGTTACTGTTTCAGTTACAAAATTTAAAAGTACTTAACAGTCAATTCCACAAACTTGAAGATTAAATAGACGCGCTTGTAACAATACTTTTTTATGTATAGTTTTACGTAACTAGTTCCATATGTATATTACTAGTTTTATGAAGAAATTATGTTTGTATTTCACTTGGTGATTGCAATAGCATGAAACTTTAAGTTGTAAAAATCACAAAGTTTTATTTTCTACATGTATATTATTTTATAGCTCTAACTTTTTTTCTTTCATTTTTTCCAGCACTTTTTTAATAGTATATGCACTTCAAAATAGCACCACTACAAACATACATAAATTTTTTTAAATATTAGAGAGCTGTCTGATGTTTGAGGATATTGTGAAACCTCTAAAAATGCTTCAAATCACTTCAAGTTTTTACCAAATTTTTGTTCTAGTAAATGGATAAAAATGTTTCCAATAAGCTTTGTTTTGAAAAAAAAATTTTTGGACTACCTGTATATATATATATATATATATATATATATATATATATATATATATATATATATATATATATATATATATATATATATATATATATATTTATATTTATATTTATATTTATATTTATTTATTTTTATATATATATATATATATATATATATATATATATATATATATATATATATATATATATATATATATATATATATATATATATATATATAAATGGTATAACTTTTTTAGCTGGATAAACTTGTTTTACACAAAATTCGAAAATCTTATGTAGAGTCAGAATCACAACATGAAGAATTGGTAAAGCTTACAAATGAACAGTTAGCAGATGTTGATGACACAGCAATTGCAGTAAGTTTAAAATTTTTAATTAATATTTGAAGTGTTTTATAAATTGAAGTTTGACTTGAAGTTTTATAAGCATTTTTTTGTTTTTTTTTGTTGTGACAGTCGTAACCGTGAAGGTTGTAACAAAAAATCCTTTGTTTAAAAAACAACAAATAAAACAATTAAATCAATGATGCAAGAAAAATGTAAAAATGATTATTAAAAACTAAAAAAGATATTATGTTAAAAAAATGCACTATAGCATAATCAAAGTTATTATGGATATACGATATGATTTTTAATGCTAGACAACAGGACTGTAAATATGTGTCAAAACACATTTATACAACCCTTACAACTTTAAAACCATGCTGTGGTATGTTAAAATGATTTTTTTAATAACTTTTTTGCCTTAAAGTATTTTTAAATAGTTAAAAAAAGAGTTAAGGAGTTAAGTGTTTCCTTAACTTTTTTGCTTCTTTTTTTTTCTCCTCGTTCTCGCAAAATAACCCATAATATATATATATATATATATATATATATATATATATATATATATATATATATATATATATATATATATAAATGTATACAAGGATGTTTTAATAAAATTAATTTTCACTACTAATAAAATACAAGATTGTTTTTCCTTAAAAGAGTCACTTCTTAAATTGCTTAAATCTCATGTTGTCTATAAATTTTCTTGCGCTGGCTGTAATGCCAGTTATATTGGAGAAACCTCCAGACATTTGGCAACTAAAATAAATGAGCACCTTAAAAGTGATAAACAGTGATATGTCATATATTTAAACACTTAAATTTATCTGTTAATTGCAAAAATCTGGCTAACTGTGATTTTTTTGAGATTTTGGATAATGCCCCAACCAAACACAAATTAAAGATAAAAGAAGCCCTCCACATTAAATGGGAAAGTCACTCAATAAACAAAATTCACAATATGTTATAAACTTATCTAATTTAATTTTATTGTCAGTTTATCATTATTATTAATTTTTTTTTTGACTGTTAGTTATTTTGATTGGTTATTTACCCAGTTATTTTCTAATAAATATATTGGTTCATTATGTAAATTTTTGTCCGTTATTATTTCTCTGTAAAGACTTCTATTTTTTAATATATGATTTCAGAGTTTTATTATTGTAAAATAATCTTTTGAAAATGTAAATAAAATTTTACGAAACATGTCAAGAATAAAAAAAACATTGTGTTATTTTTAAAAATTATATATATATATATATATATATATATATATATATATATATATATATATATATATATATATATATATATATATATATATATATATATATATATATATAAAATTCCTTAAAAAATTTTTATTTTGCAGAGAAAATCAAAACCAGTTGTTAATTTTTGGCTATTAACTTATATCGCCAACTTATGTATTAAATCTCAATTTGTGAAACACATTTAATCAATTCTAATTTAAGTATAAAAAAACAATAAATGTAAAATTGCATTTTTGAATAAAATTTTCTAATGAAAATTAATTTTGACTTGTCGAAATGTCAGTATTGGTTTTGGTAAAATATTTGCCAAAATGTCAGTTTCTGTTTTGGCACCGAACTAGAGTATCCGAAATTTTGGTTTATTTCAGTTTTTTTTTTGTTTTTTCTGTTTTGGGCGATCACTATCATATACACACCTATAGTAAAGGTGTTAAATATAATGTTTGTGGTAGAAAACAACTTTTATCTACTCTATGGTATCTAAATTGACAAAATTAAGGTTAGATTACAACAAAACGCATTAATTTAATTGAGGAAATTTATTAAAATTAATGTTTTTTTAAAAAACCACAAAAACAAATTAAGTAGCTAGAATTTTTTTATTTTATTTTATTAAAAATAAAAACATTCTGAATGTTTTTATTTTTAACCCTGCACGGAGTGTTAAAGCATCGATATATATGTGTGTTGCTACATATATGTGTGTGTTTGTGTGTGTGTATGTATATATATATATATACACACACACACACACACACACACACACATATATATATATATATATATATATATATATATATATATATATATATATATATATATATATATATATATATCTGTGTGTGTGTTTATATTTATACATACGTATGCTAATATATAGACATAAATATATAATAATAATAATAATAATAATATATATATATATATATATATATATATATATATATATATATATATATATATATATATATATATATATAACGGGTGATGCGTAATTAGTGACACAAAAGTTAACTTAGTTTTGCTCGTAATATAATCTTTTTCATTAAACCATATAAATTTATTTTGGTAAATTGAATATTCTAGTTTTATTAAAAAAAAAAATTATCCAAAAAAAATGTTAAACGGCTAAGAAAGAGCAGCTCTTCAAAAAAGCTTCAAAAATTTTTTTGTAAAAAACCCAAAAGCGACCAAAGCCGAAGCCGCTAACCATTTTATTAAAGAAGGAATCGCTCGCAAAATAGCATATAGATATATCAATCGACAGCTTGATGGACAATGTTTAAAAATAAAAAAAAATTCTGGTTGCCCGTCATCGTGGACTCAAGAAAAAAAGCGAAACTTAAAAAGTTGACCAACAATCGAAAAGGTGTAAGTCAAAGAAAGCTCGCACGTAAATTCAACGTAAATCAAGCAACAATTTGTAGACAATTAGCCAAAATGAACATAAAATATCGGAAACGCGAAAAAACACTGAAATACAATGATGAACAACGTCTAAGGGCACAAAAAAGAAGTCAAAAACTCGTCAATCACCTCTACAAAGAACAAATCGTTTTAATTTTGGATGACGAAAAATACTTTTGTTTTGCTGGCAATGAAATGCCTGGAAACACCAGTTATTACACGAACGACAAAGAAAAATGTCCAGAAAATGTTCGTTTTGTGGGAAAAGAGAAATTTCCGAAAAAAATTTTTGTTTGGATCGCATTATCTGAGCGTGGAATGTCGAAACCACTCTTCCGGTCGTCAACCTCGGCTGCAATAAAATCCGAAATTTATATCAAAGTATGTTTAGAGGAACGATTGATGCCATTCATAGATAAGTATCACGATGATTTAAATTACATATTTTGGCCGGATTTACCTAGTACCCATAGAGCTAAAGTGGCAATATCGTGGATGAATGAAATGATTAACTTCGTGCCGGTCGATATGAACCCTCCTAATGTCCCCAAAGCCAGGCCAATCGAAGACTTTTGGGGAGTATTGGCTCAGAATGTGTATGAGGGTGGATGGGAGGCCAAAAGTAAACATCAACTGCTTCGGCGTATCGAAGCCTGTCTGAAAAAAATTGATTTGACATTTTTACAATCCCTTATGAAGGGTATCAAAACTAAATTGAGATTAATAGCCGATCAAGGCATTCAATCGATTTACAAAAAATAATTTAAAAAAAATAAATATTGTGTTATTATTTTTTAAAAATGAAAATTTTTTTTTCTTTTATTTCTTTAAAAATATAAGGCTTTGATTTTTGTGTCACTAATTATGCATCACCCGTTATAATATATGTGTGTTGCTACATATGTGTGTGTTTGTGTGTGTATGTATATACATACACACACACGCACATATATATATATATATATATATATATATATATATATATATATATATATATATATATATATATATATATATATATACATATATATATATATGTATATATATATATATATATGTGTATATATATATATATATATATATATATATATATATATCTGTGTGTGTGTTTATATTTATACATACGTATGCTAATATATAGACATAAATATATAATAATATATATATATATATATATATATATATATATATATATATATATATATATATATATATATATATATATGTATACATATAAGTATATATATGTGTGTGTATACATATAAATACTATTTAAAAATAAACATATTTACATAAATTTATATTTATGTAAATATGTTTATTTTTAAATAGTATGAAATAACAGTACTTTCAGAAAAGTTAGCAGAAATGAAACCTAATATGGCTGCAATTGAAGAGTACTTTAAAAAGGTAAAAAGTTTTAAAAGTCATCAATAATTAATATTCTAATCAATAACTAACTATTTTTCAGTATGTAGTTATAATAAGTTATTAAAAAAAAGAAATTTATTTTAGGAGGAAATTTATCTTGAACGTGTTAAAGAACTTGAAACAGTGACAGAGGAGCGTGATTCTAAAAGAAAAGATCTTGATAATATGAGAAAGAGAAGACTTGATGAGTTTATGTCAGGATTTGTTATTATAACAGCAAAATTAAAAGAAATGTACCAGGTATGTATAACATTGTGGTGATTGATATTTGGGAGTTTTGTTTTGGAATGGGGTGAGATTTTTTGTGTGCTAAAAGTTAGTCCAGACAAAAAAAAAAGAATGTTGGTATCATCATTCTTTTTTTTTATGTCTTTACTAATAAAAAAAAAAAAAAAGCTTCTTAAAACAAATCATATAAGATTTGATAAAAAGAAGTTTTTTTCAAGAAAAATCGTGTAAAAGATTTACATATTTAAATCTTTTATCTTGAAAGTGAAGTTAAAAATGTAAAGAATGTAAAAATATATTTTAGTACAAAAAAAGCATTAGAGTTTTGCAGAAAGAATTATTACAAAAGTTATTTACATTAATTAGTACAAATTCTTTTAATTTAATGCAAAGAAGTTGTGTCAGGAGTATTTTAATTGCAGAGTTAATTTGAGAGTTTGTGTGTTAGTACTTGGTTCACATTTAGATTAAATTTAGTTTATGTTTTTATATACTTAATTTAACCATGGGCTGTGAAGGTGTTTAATATAAACTATTTGAAATTAATAGAAAATAAAATTTTAACATTAACACATTTACCAAAAAAAAAATTTCAGGTTAATGTGTTTTGTTACCCATGAAGCAATATACCCATAATCACAAACTCATTAAAACATTAAATATGGAAACAATAAAGTAGCTTTAAGCAGAAGTTGGGGGCAGCGTTATGATAAGTTAAAAATATTTTTACAAAAGATGAAAAAGAAAAACATTTTTATGATAAGATGTATCAGAGAATGTTAAATAGGTTTGTGCATGTATAGAGTAAAGATGCAAATGAGTGTCAGTGTAACATGGCAGTTTTAGGAGAGGACAAATTTACTAAAGGCTTGAAGATTGTTGAAGAAGGCCGTCCCTCAGCCACAAACAAATAACAGTAACTTCCATTCAGTATAAATTTAAAAATTGTGTTTGTAGTGTATTAAGTATGTTTATGTAAAAGAAAAAAGTAGGCGATGAAAAAAAAAAAAAGAATTTATATTTATACAAAAATACAAACTGGAAGCAAAAATTAACAACAATATACTAACATGCAATATACTATACAATATAATTTGTAATATTAATGGATAATAGTATTAAAGTTTCCATTTGATCTAATTGTTGTTAAAAATAATCATATTTATAGAAAATCTTAAATTATCTAATTAAAAATTCATTTTAATATATATTTATATAAAATAACATTCTAATATTATAGTTATTTGTTGCTTATACACTAATTAAGTTGAAAATCAGTTATTTTGATTTATTATAGATGATAACATTGGGAGGAGATGCAGAATTAGAATTGATTGATAGTCTTGATCCATTTTCAGACGGTGTTGTTTTTAGGTAGCTTATTTATTTAAGAAAAATACTAAAGATTTATTATTTACTAAAGATTTTTTTTATTTTAAATTTTTTAATAGTTATCTTTTTTATGAATATTTAATTTTAATAATGAAAAATGTTTAATTTATTTTGAATTAAGGGTAATTAGCAGCCATTTTTCAAACTGTCTCTTGTTTTTTTATAGTTTTTAGTATTGCTTATTAATACAAAATTATTTAAATTTGCTTCTGAAATTTACCCGATTAAGAAAAAAATTTTAAATGAAATTTTTTATTGTTTTTACTTTAAACACATCTTTTTTGCTTTCATAAGTTCTTTTAAATGAGGAACTTAAAATTTTTGGGAATTTCTGTTACCTAACGTAAAGTTACCAACATTTGGTATTTCATCTCTGGGCCTTTATCTAAACATGTTACTAAAGTAACCAACTTTCACCTAAACCTAATGTTGCAACTCTCTCTCAACTTGAAACACAAGCTTAGTTAAACAAGGTTACTGCAAGGAGAAATAAGTTCAGTCTAGCACAACCTACTACTTTCTTACTGAAAAAATTTACTGAAAGTTAATTTTTTGCAGTAAGAAAGTAGTAAAAGAAAGAGTTGGTTTGATGTTTTAGGCAAGTATACAGTTCACCATCATTACATTCCAACGCACTCTAGTTAATGTTTAACATGTTTATTTAGTATTTTCACAAGGTTTGAGAAGCTATTCTTCAGCATTACATACAAAATGAAAAATACACATAAACTAAATTAAAGTTAAATACTTAAACCACTGAGTTGAATACTTAAACTACTGAGTTAAATACAGGGTGGCCCAATAAAGACAGGGTGGCCCAAAAGTCACTAGACCATTTAAAATTTAATTAACTTTTATTTTTTCTCAATTCACATTTATCATTTTATATACAGAAAACACACTTGTAAGTATATTTAATTTGATTTTGAAAATAATTTCCTTTAAATATCCACTATTGTGCTCTTCACACTGACATGCTCTTTCTAGGGAGTGAACAATCATGAATTTTGACCTTCAATTGCTAAATATTCTAGGCATTTTGTGGTATATTCTATTTTTTAAATAGCACCATAGAAAGAAATCTGGAGCCGTTTAGTCAGGTGAGTGTGATGACCTATTAATTTCAGAAACTCATGAATTTACTATTCTAAATATTTGTCTTAAGTGTTCCATTATTGGGCAAGATGTATGGGCAGTAGCATTTTGGTGCCACCATTTCTCTGGTGTGTCCTCAACCACAGAATGCACAAAATTCTCTAGCATTTCTTGATACCTTTCAGTGTGTTTTCTGCATCATCTTAAAAGAAATAAGGTTAAAGAACTCTTTCTACACCAAACCATTACTTTTGCAGGATGTAGACAACATTGGTGAACTATTCTTGAATTTTCATTTTTAGACTTTTTAGTTAGGATATTCAGTATCCCAAAATTGCATATTTTGCTTACTAACATAATATTAATATAACCGCTAGGGTGCATCAAAAAACAACAATTTTTTAAAATTGCCTTGTCTGTGCTCTAAACATATGCGATATAATAAAATATCACTGGATAAACAAAAAATTTTTAAAAAAATTTTTTTAGAGGTGCCCCAAGTCCTTCGAACATTTATACGGCCCTTAAAATTCTGGGAAAAAAAATTCTTTACAAGTAGGTCAACCTGGTACTCAAAAGAAGTGAAATTTTATAAAAAGTTCAAAAATAATATTTGTTTTATGTAAAAATTATTATTTTAAATTTTAATGCATAATAACTATAGTTTTTAACTAAATTTTTATTTTTAGTTAAAAACCATAGTTATTATGCATTAAAATTTAAAATAATAATTTTTATATAAAACAAATATTATTTTTGAACTTTTTATAAAATTTCACTTCTTTTGAATACCAGGTTGACCTACTTGTGAAGAATTTTTTTTCCCAGAATTTTAGGGGCCGTATAAATGTTCGAAGGACTTGGGGCACCTCTAAAAATATTTTTTTTTCAAAATTTTTTGTTTATCCAGTGATATTTTATTATATCGCATATGTTTAGAGCACAGACAAAGCAATTTTAAAAAATTGTTGTTTTTTGATGCACCCTAATAACCGCTTAAGTGGCTCTTGTAGCCCATAATAAGGTTGTTAATGAACTCAGGTTCTTGCCTTTCTAATTCTTGGATATGGATAGCATATGCTAATAATCTGCTGGCACCAGTTCCTGCACTACTTTTATCTTAAATAAAAGAGTTTCAGAACCCTTTGAATATTTTGGAGCAAAGTTTGAGCTATTTAAAACAGGGAGCGCTTCCACTTGAATTTTAAGCCTCCTACTTAATCTTTTTACACGCTAAAAATTTTCCTGTGATCTTTCTGAGAGTGAATTTCAAACCGATTTTAAAATCCATGAATTTAAAAAAGGTCAGACTAAATTAACTATTGTTTGTTTACAATGTAGTTTTCTAATCCCAAAATAACGAAGTAAGCTTTTTGTGTTAGCATAGTAGATTGTCTATTTTTCAGATAAAGTTCAATTATTTTAAGATGTTGTTCAGATGTAAACTTTCTCCATATTTAATTTACAAGAATTAGACTTTAATAATCTGAAATTTAAAAAAATAAAATTAATTAATTGTAAAAAGTTATTTGAATTTAAAATGGATCTAGAGACTTTTAGGCCACCCTTAAACTTGAACCACTGAGTTGAATACTTAAACCACTGAGTTGAATACTTAAACTACTGAGTTGAATACTTAAACTACTGAGTTGAATACTTAAACTACTGAGTTGAATACTTAAACTACTGAGTTGAATACTTAAACTACTGAGTTGAATACTTAAACTACTGAGTTGAATACTTAAACTACTGAGTTAAATACTTAAACTACTGAGTTGAATACTTAAACTACTGAGTTGAATACTTAAACTACTGAGTTGAATACTTAAACTACTGAGTTGAATACTTAAACTACTGAGTTAAATATTTGAACTACTAAGTTAAATATTTGAAATACTGAGTTAAATACTTAAACTACTGAGTTGAATACTTAAACTACTGAGTTGAATATTTGAACTACTGAGTTAAATATTTGAACTACTGAGTTAAGTATTTAAATGACTGATTTGTCACAAATAAGAATTATAATTAAAATAATATGGTTAAACAAATTTGCTTAAATTTATTTAATATTTTGAATTTTTTCTGCTTGTGTTGGATAAATTTTAGTTATTATTTGGTTAATAACTTTAAAATTTATAATTTTAAGTTATTATTTTATTAATAACTTTAGTTTGTTTTAAACTCAAAATGAGCTAACTAGATATATCTTTAATCAGTTGATTATATTGCTTACAGTTAACCAACATAAATGTTTTTTTATATAAAAAAAATAATTAAGTATTAACTAATTGATTAAATTAATATGAAATAAAGTTTTAGTCAAAAAAGCTTGTTTAGTTAATATGGCGATGGTGTAGTGCCATAGCATGTGGTGATGGTATAGTGCTATCTGAAGATATTATTAAGTTGAAGATATAAACAAGTAGTACTTCCATTGACAAAAATAACAGCCTTTATATTGAGACCATATTCAAATTATTCTTTTTAGAGATAATAAAACAGATTGTATCTGATTGTTTTGTTATTTTAAATTCATTATTAAATTACTTATCAAACCAATGTTTGGCATAGTGTTATTTATAAATAATAGATACTCTAGAGGCTGTTGTATTTTTGAAGAACACAAAATTTTTGATTTCCAAATTAAAAATTTGGAAACACAGAACAATACATGTTCTTGGAAAACAGAATGTCTTGTCATGAATGAAAAAATGTCATCAAAATTCTTTGATGACATTTTTTCATTCATGCAAATAAGTAAAGAGAAATGTAAAAAGTTCATTCTATTTAGAGTAAAGGTTTTGTATGATATATTCTTTAGTGTAGTTTAGTTTTTTTGTTTTAGTTGCAATTTATATATTTTACAGTTAGAAACAGAGATTAGATTTAATGGTTCATTTTATAGTGTTCGCCCTCCCAAGAAAACATGGAAAAATATATCAAATTTATCTGGTGGTGAAAAAACACTGAGCTCATTAGCACTGGTTAGATTTATGTTCTAAATGTTTTTTTAAGGGAGCTATTTCTATTTGTATTTTTAATTTTAAATTTTTTATTTATTATTATCAAAACTTTATTTAAGGTTTTTGCACTTCACCATTATAAGCCATCTCCCCTTTACGTCATGGATGAGATTGATGCTGCACTAGATTTTAAAAATGTTTCAATTATTGCAAATTATATCAAAGTGAGTCAAATTATATTTACTATTTTAAAGTTTAGTTTAATATATTTTTTGGATATTTATTTTTTACATTCCAAAGTTAGCCTCTACTCCTAACACCTAATCTCATTTGAATGAGGCATGCGCCCTGAATCTTTAATTGAGCTTTCTAATTTGGAGATATTATAATATACAAAAAAAAGCTTTTCATGTAATTTTTTTAAAAGGTTTGGTGTTTATTATATTATTCATAACTGTCTGAAACCTTTTTCGATTCACTATAAACTTTTATAAACCTCTATAAGCCTAAAACATTTTTTGAATAATTACAACGTAAAAACATCTCATAGTTGTTATAATTTCACAATTATTATAAAGGGTTAAAACAAAATAATAAAACAAAGTCTTTTTAGATTTCTATTGTTCTATATTTTGATTTTTTTTTATATATGTCCAAAATTTAATGTGTATGAAGTCCTCTCAAAAGTCTTTCAAAGTGTATTAAAAAATTTTCAATAAAGACTATAAGGTTCTTCTAAATAAAGTTTTAATTTTTTTATTGATAATATTATTCTGAAATATCTTTTATATTCCAAGGCATGCAAAAATATAATAAATAAAGATATATATGACAATATAATAAAAAGTCTAAAATTCTTGAAAAAAAAGATCAAATTAAAGTATTTTTTGCTTTTTATTTACCATTATAATAAATATTTGTAAAAGAATTTGAAAAACTGGAAATAATAATCTAGAAAAATTCCTTTTTATTTACCATTATAATAAATATAATTTAAATTAGTTTAAAAACTGGGAAAAGACAGTATAGAAAAAAGAAACCTATAATAGTTTTTCTTGATAGTAACAAACCAAGTTTCCAAGTTTTACCAATATATGTAATTCACCTAGTAGATTATAGGTTGTTTATAAATTATGGTATGCTGCTTTTTAAAGAAAAATAAAACAAAAAAACAGTAACGCAAAATCTGCCTAAAATCATCACAAAATACTTGAAAAGTTATATTATTAGTTTGAAATATTGCAGTATAGCTTTAATTTAATTTGCAAAAGATAGATAAATACAATTAATGTGTGCATATATTGGTTGACCTAAATAAGGAACATGCAAGATGTGTAGATTACATTGAGTGAGTTTTTTTATTTGGTTAGTCATACATATAAAAACAACACATGTATAAATATATTTGTTCATTTAAAGATATTTTTAAAACAGTTATAATAAGATATAATCATTATTTGTAAACATTCTAAATCAGTTTCCCTTTGAGATTTTTTTTCTTTTCAAAAATGGTTTTAAAAGCAGGAAAATCTTGTTATTAACACTATTGGTGCACAAAAAAATGCACTAATTAATAGTTGCTTGATTAAATACTTGGTTTGTGTCTTGTCTCTAGCTCTAGTTTGTGTTCAGTTTCTCCTATTTCTCCTTAAGGTGGCTTCAACCATGCAATAATCTCTATGAATCTTTTATCTTGTACTTCTTCTGACTCACCCTATTATTGCACTAATTAATACTACCCTTAAGATGACTGGGTTTCTTTTTGTTATTTTCTTTATGACGGCACTTGAGTTAATGTCTTCTCCCTCCACTGATAAATCCGCCTCCTACATAACCTCCTGGATCTAGGCAGGAATGGAAGTTTTTTTTTCCTTATTGTCGGTTACAAGTCAAGCCTCATTCTACTCCGTATTTTTCACCTTCTTATGCAGCTGCTATATCTAATCATAATCATTTTTTTTCATCTTTTTCAAAAGAACAACTAACTTGAGAACAATCGGCTATTTATTATTGCTGAAAATTAATGTAACAAGGTGCTGTTTGATGCTAAGCTCCATTATTCACTGTTCACTAAATCTTGTATCTTATCTCAAAAGTTAGGCTCTAGATGACTTTTAAAAAATCTTTAATTGTTTCATTATCAAAGGTCATCTTTTGTTCATGGAACCAATCTTATTACCCCTCCAAATGTTTAAAGCTAAACTACTTGAAAAAAACCTTTGTTCTATTTTAACTCTTGAATCTTATATCTGGAAAAGTTTTTGAAATTATCAATTCATTTCTTTCTAACAGCTGTATTAAAATCATCCTCAAAGTTTAACACTCTTCTTCATTCTCAGTAACTTCTTCTCTACATTAATGATCTTCCCGAGAATTTTACATCTAATGTGGCTCTATTTGCTGATGACTCAAATTTATACTTTTTACAAATTCATACTTTTTAATTTAGACTCCTGTCTTGACAATTAGTCATTTTAAATTTATACTTTTTAATTTAAACTCCTGTCTCGACAAAAAGTCATTTTTTTTTTACCACTTAAAACAGGCAACCAATCTTGAATGTGATCTAACCTTTGCAACAGATTGGGGGTTGCTGTGGTTTGTGAATTTAAACTCCAACAAAACTCATTTATTTACTGCAAACAACTATCGCAATACTGTCAACATTCCTATATTGAGGGCAACTATCTCACTGAGTCCTCTTCTTTACATCTTCTTGTATTATCGTTCGCTACTGACTTCTCATGAAAAACATATATACAATCAATTGCAAAGTTAGCATCTGCTAAGGTTGATTCTCTTGTATATTATGTATATCTATATTATTATTGTGCTCACCATTTTTTTACTCCTGATTCCATTCTCTACCTCTACAAATCTCTTGTTCGCCTCTGTATGGAATACTGTTGTCATATTTGGGCTGGTTCATCCAATGATGTTTTTTGTTGTTTTTCAAAATTTAAGCAATCAAAGAATCATTGGCACAAAAGTAAATTCATTTAAAATTACTTTTTTTACAAGTTTCTTTTTTAAACAAATTTTTTTTTTTTTGTTGAGCAAGTTTTTAACTAAAGCGTCACGTTTTATTTAACTTGATATACTGTTGCTTAAAATAAGGTTTTATCTATTAATGTGCATGTTACAATTCAGAGGTGACCAAACTTTTTATGATGCCAGTAGAAATGATTTTAATCGAATAATCTTTATAATCATTTTATCAAATTAATAGTTAGTAGGACTGGTAACTAGTTTTTCAATGTTTAGGTTGTTTTTTTAAGCTAGATAGAAGTATCAGATTACCATGCTGGTTGCCTGAGTGCCATATCATTGAGTTCTGAAAAATCATTTTTATGACAAATAATGTTATTAAATAATGTTGAAAATTAACTGTTTTTGCTTTGCATGTTTTTGTTGAAGATTTTTAAATAATTTGTTATATTTATTAAAAATGTAAGATCACATTTTTATTTGAGAAATTGACACTCTAATGGTAATTACTTTTTTACTTTTAAGCACCTGGCTTGAAAGCAAAAAATGAATTTACCTTCATCAAATTGTGTTTGGTGTAACATTTTTTTTAGGAGCGAACAAAAAATGCTCAGTTCATAATTATTAGTCTACGCAATAATATGTTCGAACTGGCTGATCGATTGGTTGGTATTTACAAGACGGATAACTGTACGAAAAGCGTAATAATAAACCCTTCGTCATTATAATTTTTTTTCGAATATAAAAATAATTGTTATCTTTAAAGTAACTTTAAAGTTAATTAGTAACATTTATTGTCTGTATATGACAATAAATGTTTACATAGAATTTATCCGGACCTATTGTATGACGTAATGCACGCAAAAAATATTTCATACTTTTACTGGTTCTTTCATGGAAATTACCATTTTATGTATTTAATACAAAATATTATTAAATTTAATGTTTTATGTTTATTTCTAATTTAATTTTAAGAATGTACAATTTGTAGAAAAAAAAGTAGAATTAGAATGTAAAATTTGTCAAGTTGAATGAAGTATTTAAGGAAAGATAAAATGTGAAAAAAATAAGATTATGTTTTTAATGTAATCGTTTTCTCCTTAATTATCCTTACTTTTTCTTTCAAAAAAATGTCGTTCGCGACCAAATCTCCTTAAATATTAGGAAAATATCTCCTTAAAATTCTTAATTTTAGCCTTAGTTTTAATAGTGGGAACCATTATATATATATATATATATATATATATATATATATATATATACACAGTAGCTTTCATAAATTTAGACGCATTCATTTTTTTTTCATATATGTAAGAAAATACTCAAAATAAAAATAAAATAAAAGTACTACTGCTATGTTTGATATATAATTTACAAGAGGAAGTGAAACTCTATTAAAGAGTACCTTAATTTTTTTTTACAGGATGTTTATTACTCATTCTATACCGATTAACACAAAAAAGTTAATTGATAAGCTTGATTTTATTTTGTTCATAAATTTAGACGCACAATCAAAAAAGTCTTATATCTTGTTAATCGATAGTTAATTAGTAGTTTTTTCCCCATATTTCTCATTAATAGGCCTAAAGTAATTGATTTTGTCAAAAAACCTTATATAAATATGACTTACCTGGAATTAGTTAATCATTATTTAATAAATAAACAAAAGTTAAGTTAGTTTTGCACTAAAAAGACGCGAAAAATGGGCAAAAGACGTATCACTCAAGGTGAAAGATGGCAAATTATTGCGCACATCAAAGAAGGAACCAAAAGTAATAGAAAAATCGCCAAGCTAATTGGATTTTCTGAGAAATGCGTTTGGACAACGAAACAAAACTTTCTTCACACTGGTGGTGCCAGCGAGAAAACGAGGCCAGGTAGACCCTTGTCAACCACGAGAAAGGACGATAGTGTTCATTTTAGAGCTGTCAGAGCTAATCCAAGAATTAGTTACAAAGAATCAACCACAGAATTCAATACAACGCGAAATACATCTATTTCTCAAAGCACAGTCCGCTAAATACTTATCAAATACTAGATTGGAGTCTACACTGCTTTGAAGAAACCGCTTCTGCGTCCATATGATAAACAAAGGAGACTAAAATGGTGTCGTGAAAGAAGGTATTGGACAATAGATCAATGGGAAAACATTATGTGGAGTGATGAGAGTAACTTTGAGCTTATCAATCGCAAGTCTAACATAACAGTCAAAAGAATGGCTCATGAAAAGTATTACGCCAGGTACATTAGACCGACTGTACAAAGTGGAGGAGGCTCGATAGGAATCTGGTCATGCTTCAATTATAAAGGTGTTGGTATGTGCCAAACAAACACCGGAAGAATCAACTCCAGAATATACGTAGAAGTACTGGAAAACAACTTAATTCCATCAATTGACCTGCTTATGCTCAATGATAAACCATGGAAACTTCAACAAGATGGCGCTACTGCACATACTGCATACTATACAAAGGAGTGGTTCAACGATAATAGTATCATGACAATACCGTGGCCTCCATACTCACCTGATTTAAACCCGATTGAAAAGATTTGGGCTTGGATTGACCGTGAATTAGCAGAGGTTCAAATTTCCACACTTACTCAACTGAAGGAATTCCTTAAGGAGACCTGGTATGGGGTACCAGAAACGATGTGCAAAAATATTGTTTAGTCTATGCCTAGAAGAGTTCTTAGTTGTATTAAAGCAAAAGGCGGATACACAAAGTATTGATTGGTTTATAAATTACGCATTCTAATGTATCGTGCGTCTAAATTTATGAATAATTTTTTTTGTCTAATTTTTTTAATACCATGTAGTTGTACCTAATTATTACTTAGTATTTCATTTTTTTTGTAAACTTTTTTTAAATTTTGTATTCTGTATGTATTTATCTAATAAATAGAAAAAAAACTAAACCAAAATCTTTTTTCGTCATTGTTTTATCGTTGAAAAACTAAAAATTTCTATTCTCAAATATGAGTGCGTCTAAATTTATGAAAACCACTGTATGTATATATATATATATATATATATATATATATATATATATATATATATATATATATATATATATATATATATATATATATATATATATAACCATTATATATATATATATATATAACCATGTCAGTTTTACGAAAAACTTATCATATTGGCATTTTTCGGCATTTTTTATATTAGCCAAAGGTAAGGCAATTATCAAAAAACAATCAGACATAACATAGACATAAAAATAAAACAATATTCGGTGCTACTTTTCTTAATGCTATACAAATAAGGTAGACGTATGAAAAGTTGTCTACCATTATGGATTTTACAAAAAAATATCTATATATAAATGTTAGAAATGGGATTGCGCGCAATATTTTTTTTATGTATTAGGATATTAGAAAAGACGTGAATAATTTATTTTTTCTTAAAAAGTTCATCTTATGTGGGCGCAGGGCGATTAAAAAATGTCAGTTTTACAAAAAACGCATCAAATTAGTACTTTTCTGCCTTTTTTTCATAAGCCTATGGTGATACAATCATCAAAAAACAACAAGGCATAATATAGACATTAAAATAAAACATAACTTTGGGTGCTACTGTTCATAAAGTCATACAAAAACGTATTCATAAGTATACTGTGTTTGCTTTAGGATATTAGAAGAGGAAAAAAAATTATTTGCTCTATAGATAATAAATAAGATAGCTCCTGCAATAATTTACAAACTTTCTGAAGCATTAAAAATTTATTGTTCCTAAATAAAATGTTATCTAAAAGATACAATATATTTAAAGCTCAAATTATTTATTGAGATCATAAATAAAATCTAAAGGTTCGTGTACATCTAAGCTCCAATCAATTAGATCAATGGAATTATTATATGTTCAAACGAAAACTAAAAAAAGTAATATTCTCAATTGAAAATATATTTATATACTTTTAATTTTACCCAGTTTTGTCAACACTCATTTATATTTTACTTTTATACAATATTGATTTAAAGTTTATGTCAGAAACTGTAGTTAAACATCATTATTTGAATTTTGTTAAAAGTTCCACTGACATTATTTGTACAGTAGGCATTTATTATTTACTTGTTTACTTTAATTTTTATTTTATTTCGTAATTTTGTAAATAATTTGTATTACGAACGGTATATACTTTTAATATTGAATTTAATTTTGTAATGAAAAATATATATATATATATTATTATTAAAAAAAAACAAAAAAAAAAAAATACAAAAAAAAATTTGATGTATGTGACTGGATGTATCTTCAAACATTGTATGTATGATACTTTTGAAAGTTAATCATCCTTGACAGTGGTTTAGCATTTTTGTCGGCGAAAGCGTTAACGTAAATGCACCAACATTTGATAATTATGGCTTCTCACACAATGACACCATCATTTGGCTATCTAAATTCTTCTACACAATCTTTTGGACAATCTTGAAGTGCATTTGGATGTACCTAGTGCAATCATATTCTTATTATTTTCGTTTATTTATTAATTAATTAACAATTAAGATCAGTGTAACTGATAGATTTGAGTAACAAGAATCAGTGATCGAGTCAGATGCGAGACGTATTTATTTATTAAGAATACTATGATATTATTGTTTTCGCTTGAATCATCCGGTTCAGAAGAATTAGTACTTTAATTCCAGCCATAAAGACCATAACTTAAAAAAATTAAAAACTTGTGTTTATTTATTTTTGTTTTTCCTAAAATCTAAACTAAGATCAAAGTTCTTCAACAGCGGTTCTCGGTGACAAGACCTGTATGGTCTTCTTTGAGTATCCGCGTTCTTTATCTTAATTCTTTATTTTTTTGTAACGATTTTTTTGCATGTAAATTTTTCTTATTATATATTTGTAAATATTGTATTAAATATTGTAATAAAGAACAAAAAAAAAAAAAAAAAAAAAAAGGTCAAAAAGTGATTCAGCATTTTCATTATTGTTTCCGTATTTTAAATCTCCTCTTAATTTTAAAATTGTTTCAACTGCAAATTGTCTTTCTGCTTTTTCTAGACTACACAACAATGCTTGAAGAACATTTTCACTATGAGCATTCCATGAAGAAGATAAAACATAGGGCATTACAATGTCTTTAACTTTAAGTTTTTGATAAGAAAGAAGTTTTAATTGCTTGAGTATATGGTTAGGCCCTTCAGTCCACTTCCACTTTACTTTGATTTCAAACCAAAGTGGCGCATAAACTTCAACAATAAACTCCACCAGAAGTTAAAGATTATATGTTTCTTCAACTAAAAGTACAATATCGGAGCACCAAAGTAAACATATTCTATTTGCGAAAATCAACCATCTTGCATGCAAACGTAGCCCAATTTCTTTACCTTTAAAATTTTACGGAAAAGCCCAGTGTTAATTGCATGGGTAATTTGATAAAGATACTTTTGATCATCTGATAGCGATTTTACAACCTCAGGGTCAAGTTCTATTATTGCATTAGGAAATTCAATTTTTTTAATGCTATCTTTGACTTTGAAGCTAGTTGCCTTACCTATAAGTTTTCCAATAGAACCAGAAAAGTTATCTTTAGATGCAGTTTTTGCGTCAAGCTGAATCATAAGATGTCGGAGAGGTAGCTCATTTGTATGAAGAGCACAAATCATTCACATTAGTTTTTTATCCAATTTATGTTCAAGGTAATGGATAACACCTTCTTTTTAACCAGTGTTTAAATTTGTTGAGTCCGCACCAATGGCAACTAAATAGTCTCCAACATCATAATTCATCATCCATTCGTAAAGGTTATCAAATACTTGCTCAGCTGCAGTCTCTACTCTTTCTTCAGAATTGTTAGTGAAATGAAATTGGTGTTTTCCTCCAGGTTCAGAACAAACTGAATAATGTTCTTA